TAATCTTCTGATTTATTCACCTTGTGCAATATTTCTCAAACTTTTTTTTATTGCCCCCCCCCCAGGAAGCCTTTTAAAACTTTTCTCCTAATTGCCTGCCACCCCCATGAGATTGTACGTACCATGGATATACTTTATATCTGGTTAAGTACTGTGTCATTTTGGAGGCCACAAACCATTGTAATATCTAAGTTTTCTCACCTCCTCCAAGAACCAATTTCACCTCCTTGGGGGCAACTTTGCTGTTGTTGAGAATGTATGGTCTACTCTAGACTAATTACTGTCAATGAGTTATTTTGTAGTGCTTAACTATGTGCGGGCTTATGCTACTATGGCCCCCATTTTACAGATGGGGAAACTGGGGCACAGCCAGGTTAAGTAGCTCACCCAAGGCCATACAACGGAAAGACTGAGCCTGGTGACTCTGGCTCCTCAGCAGTCATGCTATACTGCCTCCCATTCCTCAGATACGTTTGAGCGTTGTTATGTGTGCCTGACAACCTAGGGCATGCTCAGATTGAATACCAGAGTTGTTGTATCTTCCTGTTTCTGCAGTTGTGTACCATAGTGGCTTAGGGTGGGGTTAGCCTCATAAAGACTCTTTCTTGATGGTCTGATCTTATCCTGCCTCATTTACCAGTGCAACAAATGCCCATTATGGAAGGACATGTGAAGGGGCTGGGGGAGGAGACACGGCATAATGCCCAACTTTCTTTCTGCCTTCAAAGAGCCGAGTAATCGAGTGCAACAGATAAAGCATTAGGCAGAGAAGGCGACCAGTACTACGAGAAAGAAAATTCTTGGAGTCCCATGAAGGTACAGACAAAAAACTACTGAGGTTCTTTATTGTCTCCTGCCCCACAAGGGGTCTCATAATTTCTTCCAGTAGTGGGGATCCTAAGTCATCTCATCAGTCCCCCAAAGAAACTATGACAAAGAGTGAATGGCTGGTTCAGCTGAATCACCTCACACACATCTGTCCCTATCTTTACATGCTTGTTCCACACATCTGATACTTAGCAGTTGGTCAATACATGGATGAATCAATGAATTGACAAGTGAATGAACGCTAATCTCACAAACATTTTATTGGTTTTCTCTGATAAGTACCAGGAGTATAAAATCAAACGTAACATGTAATTTCTTAAGCTCAAAAGATCATTCCATGCTGAGATATATCTAAACTACATTTTATTTTCAAAATAGTTCTAGTTGCATGTTTAAAAAAATATAACTCTGAAGTGTGCCCCTTTCTAAGGACTCCTCAGAATAATTTTATTATGTCTGCCTCTGAGGAAGCTGTGTAGGATTTTATGTCTTTACCATTTGTCAAAGTCCTGCTGTGGGCAATATACAGGAAGCATTGGCTTAGGTGCTATAAGGGGTACAGAAATGCTTAACTCTTTCCTGGCCTTCGGATGCTTCCAGTCTGCAGGAATTTAACATAATGCCACAGGCTTGGCACTGGCATCTAGTAAGTTTTGAGAAAAGTCTATTCCTGGTGACATTTCCCAGCCTCTGAGGATGCAGAGGTAGTAAAATGCTTTCAACCATATTTACAGTTTCAGACTTCATGTTTTAATTACTTTGACCCTTCTTAAAACTATCATTTTCTTCGAGAACCAAAAGGCCCAGAATCTCAGAAATTCCAAATGCCTTACATGATGGCACAGCTATAGATCAATTTTCACAAGGACTGAATCAGAAAACCAAATTGTGGCATAAGTTTTAAGGGGCATTGGCCCTTTTACCTCCCAGGACAATAATGAAATTGAGCTCTCTACTACTCTGTGCTCACTGAAAATCAAGTCACCCTCCTGAGAAAATCAAATCAAGGTGGTCACTCAAGCTCTGTGCCCAGTACAGGACATCCCAGCAAATGTGCTCATGATTCAGAGTTCCTATGGAAGAGCTACGGACTAGTTCCGACACAAAGACAGGGTTGATCATAGAGGCTTAAAGTTAGGATCAACAGAAAAGTCCACTTGTTAAGACTGCGATTGTCCTCGTGAGTTGGCAAGCGCACAAATCATGGAGTTCTGAGTGTGCTTGGTGGTTCGCTGTGTGGTTGAGAACTTGGCCCCCGAGTTTCCTCTTCTCCATCAACACAACAAACGTTATTTGTGAATAGCTCTGAATATTTTAGCACACCTGTTGATGCTACTAAGGCAATCCTGTTCAGCTGCCCCTGCCTGGGACTCTCCCATTATCTCCAGGACCTAGTCACACATGTTTTTGTTTGAGGCTTGGGTCCTCACAGGGGTCTGGGGAATTCCCTGTGCTTGCTTCAGGGGTTCGGATTCTGAATTGGATTTGAGAACAGTTTTATTACCTCCCCAGCAATGCCTTCTTCCCAATTCTATCACTTTAAGCATATATCTACAAATACTCTAAGACAAACGTGCACTGCATTTTGTTCATTATTCTTCTCCAGAATGGGGTAGCCTCACAGCAAAAGTAAAAAGTAATGCAGAAAGCAAAAGCTGTCACTAGGTCACATCTCAACCTTCCAGACAGGCAGAAGTCAGTGAGGACATTTCTGGGAGTAGTGACTCTGGCAGGATGTTACGTTGAGGGTCGAGCATGTAAATCTATTATACATGTGGAAAATAAACTGGCAAGACAAATTTAAACTGCTGACATTATTCTGGCTATGTTTATATCACAACAATAAAACCAGTTGGAAAAACAAAAATCAAAACAATTTAACTGTCAACATGACACCAAATTACCACTGGCCTGTTGGTTTTCTTCTTTCTTTTTAATAACAAAATCAAATAATTTTTTAAGTAAATGTATAGCCCAATTGTTCTGCTAATATGTGATGCATGACCTTAACATTTTTCAGTTACTATCAACCACATTGCTTATACAAAACATACCAGCCCTAACACCTTAACACCCCTTATGTTGTTTGCATGTTTCCAATATTTCCTGATAAACCAAAAGGCACCCTCCTAAGAAAATCAAGTTTAGAAAACTAAACACCACCTAGTATGTGTTCTTGGTGACAAGGCTAATGTTTTGCTTAAAGAGCCAAGTATGCCGTTTACATTATTTCCAACTGCCCAACATTCATGAAGAAATCAAGTAAAATGAAGACCTGACTGACCCTTGGGAAACATTCAAATCCTGCAAATCTGCCGCCCAAGCCTAGCAAGTGATCAGAAACGAGGTCAGACTCTGAAAGCTGCAGCAGTGCAAGATCGACTCACAGTAGTGCTCCTGCTCATAGGCATTACTTAGGTGATCTCTTTGCCCACACAAGGACTCTCTCATCTTCAAGATTTGCCAACAGTGGCACGTTAATCCTCACAACACCATGTTCTGATCCCGTGTTAGTGATGGGAAGATGATAATGATGGTGATAAAAATTAAAACACGTCAAACACTATCAGCACCATCACTTCAAAACACCCATGGCTTTCTCAGGGGCAAAAAAAAAAAAAAAAAAAAAAAAAAAAAAAAATTGGAAAAGTGTAAACTGTCTAACGTGTTCTCATCTGTTTTACTATTACACAGATGCTAAGATTCAACTAGTCTTGAAAGTCTAACGCACAAGGAGTTGAATTCTTGCATTGTTCAAAGGGGCAGAAAGCTCTCTTGGGAAGTCAGGCATTTTTTAAAGTGTTTTGTTTATGAAAAACACCAGCAGAGTTGAGTCAAGAAATGTTCTCTGGACTCCATAGGGTCTCATGTCTGCTCTTTATCCCAGTGTGAGGAAGAGGTGACATTTGGCTTAGGCGATTGGGTCAACCTCCTCCCTGGAGAAGTGAACGGCCAAAGCAGGACCTTTGCAAAGGAGAGACCTCGGAGGTAAATCAGACAGCCACTGGGGGGCTTCGCACCAGCACCCCGCGGAATGGAAGGAGGGGAGTGGAAGACTCCCAAAGGAGAGTTCCTGCCTTTGGGTCTTCAAAACCGATGAAAAACTGAACAACTTCCCCCAATCCTGAAACCACGGAACACATAAAATGAGCGCGATTGTGGTTATCAGATGTGAGCGCCGGGCGGGAAGAGGACTCGGGAGGGGCCTAAGCGCACTTTCGGGGAGAGTTTCCCGAGATCTCTCCCGTGTTTCAACAAGTTTCTGCCTCCTGGAAGGGGGAGGAAAGAGAGAGAGGGCTCTTGCGGACTACACCGTGCGCTTCACAGGTCGGGGCCTGTGACGAGGCTCCTGCGCTCCCCAGAGGAGCCCAGGCACTCGGCCCTGGTGGGGATTTGCAGTGAAGTCAGGGCCCGCGCCCCGAGGGAGCCCCGCTAGCGCTGCAGCGTCCCCAGCCCTGCGCTTGCAAGTGTCTGGAGCTCTTCTCCGCGCCCTCACGTGCGCGCACCGCCCCCACCCTTAGCAAGCAGACCGCCAGCCCCGCAGCCCCCCGCCCCGCCTTATCGAAGGAACACCTTTCTCAAGTGGTGAAGCCGCGGTTTCGGGGGACAGGAAGGCGCCAGTGCAGCCTGGGGGGGAGGCGGGGAGGGTGAAGGGCACATCGTTCCTTGTGTGCTGGGTGCAGTGCCAAAGGCTGCAAGCCCCTCGCAGGAGGAGGCTCGCGTGGAGTGGGCGGAGCCAGACGGGGCACCTGAGGGAGGACTGAGGCGGGGAGGGAGTAGGGAGGGGAGGCGAGGGAGGCAGGGGAGGCGGGAGGAGGG